AAAAAACTCTTAACAACATTGAAAAGAAATCTCTCAGAAATATCGCAATCCATAAAAATTAAATTCTCATTTGTAAACATTTGTGTAGGTAATCAATTTAACTTAATAACTATTAGCGCATTTTGCACTAACAATAAGCATGTAATGGATTTATTTCCTTATTTTTTTTTATATACTATCTAATCATTAAAAACGATTACAATCAAGTAAACTTGAGAGTTTACGCAAGTCATGATGTTTATCGTAATATTTTATTTCTTTATTCCTCACTATAGTAAAAACTTGGTTATTCGCTTTGTGTAATATATAATGACGTAATACATCGCATAACATATTATTGTACACTTTAATCATCTTCCAAAGTGTATACGCGTTGAATAAAAGTTAAAAATCCGGCAAATTTTGTTCCAAACACAACTACATTGTACAATAATGTATTTCGTACAAGATTTTTATGTTTTTCTCTTTTTCAAGCTAATCCAGAATCCGCCAACAGGTTGCAACGTAAACTCTTTTTTATTGTATACGATTGGTTCGACAGTCTTTTCCGTAGTCTTTAGAGTGAATTTTTGTAAAAGATGAGCTATCAGAATCTTAGTCTCCATGAGAGCAAATCGATTGCCGATACATTGTCTAGGTCCGTGACCGAATGGTAGATAAGTACACGGTAAAATTTTGTCTTTGTTCTCCTTGCTAAACCTTTCGGGATCGAACTTATCCGGGTTCGGAAAGTACTTCGGATCGCGATGTAAACTGTAAATGGCAACCATCAATACATCGTTAGGTTCGACGATCACGTTCTTGCAGCCTGGTCGCGACGGAGGTAGTTCATATCTCTTAACGCAAAGTCTATCGATGAGGATCATCGGTGGATACTTTCTGAGAGTCTCGGAGATCACCATATCCATGTAAGACATCTTCGATAACGACTCGTAAGAAATCTCACTGTTTCCTTCGGCAAGGTGTTGTTGTACCTCTTCGCGCAAACGATCTTGTACACCTTGATTAACTGCCAGCTCGTGAGCAACGAAACACATCAGCGTCGCAGATGTTTCGAAACCAGCCAAGAAAAAGATAAAGGCTTGCGAAACGATGTCATCTAATGTCATCTTATGTACACCGGCACCTTCTCTGTCCCGAGCCTGCATTAATAAATGAATCATGTCCGGCCTGACGATGCCTTGCTCTTCCCGCGCTTTAATAGTTTCCTCCACGATCTTCTTGAAAAACTCGGTAGTAGCCGGCGGGAAAAAAGACAGACCTATTAATTTAGCGAACCGTGGACACGCACGAAATAACATCACCTTAGCCATCATTAGCGGTCCAGCAGAAAATTTGGTAGCCTCTATTCCTCTTATATAGAACTCATTGTCTGGATCTTTCATAGAATTCACACTTATGCCAAAGGCTGTCGTAGCAATTACGTCGGTGGCGTATCGTTTAAAGGCCCCCTTTGTTTCGATCGCATGACAGACTTCCGGATGATCAACCAAATAATTAACGAAATTGTGAGAACATTTCGACATCAGGTCAAACATGAACTTCATCTTGCTGGCGGTAAAAGAGGGGCTTAATGTATTCCTCATTTCTTTCCAACGATCTCCGCG